AACAACAACTTCAACACAGTAACATTATCAAAAAATTGCGAGTTAAGGAAAAAGAGAATGATGCTTTAATAAAAAGTCAAAAGTACGTATATTCCTTTCGTTTTCTTTTTTTAATTATAACAATAAAAGAATAAATGCAAATGAATGACAAATATAAGATAATACGATACTTCAACATGAAATTTGCAGGGAGCAAATAGAAGAACAAACTTCAGAATTAGAACGTTTAAAAAGATCATTACGTGCAAAAGAAGAAGTTGAATTATCTCAGATAGATGCTGTTTATTCGTTAACAGCACGAACAAAAACACTAGAAAAAGAAGTAACAACGTTACAAAAACAATTAGAAAATGCGATGCAAAATACCGAAACTTATAAAAAAAATTTGGAAACAACAAAAATGTTGGTAAAAGTATTTTTAATGTTTATGATTTGTAATTACGTACAATTAATGTACATTTCAGGGAGTTATCTGAAACAAAGAAAATTTTGACTGCAACAGAAGCAGAATTGAAAGAAGCAACAACTAACGCTGGAGAATCATGTCAATTACTTGTGCAAGTAGAGGAATTAAAAATCAAATTAAGAGAATCTGAGGAAATGCATGTGAAGTAAGTGTTCTCTACGAAATATTCTCTTCTCTCCTAATTGTTAATAAGTTTTCGATGTATTTATTTTTTTGTCTTTTATATTCGATGTAGAAAGGAAGAATTTTTAAAGCACGAAAATAGTGAATTACTAAAACGTTTAGAAGCCGCTGAAGCTAGAAGCGAAGAACTTTCAGAATCTGTATCAACGGCTACAAAACCTTTACTGCGACAACTGGAACAAATTCAGGCAAATTTATTACACAAAACTAATAGTTTCATGAAACAAGAAAAGACATTATCAGACAAGAATATCGAATTACAAACAAAAATAGAAAATTTACTTGAGACGGATCGTTATCTTAAGGAAGAGAATATTAATTTAAAATCTAAAATATCTCAATTAGAAGCTAAGCTTATTGCCAAAGAGAATGAAAGAACGCGGTTACAAGAATTGTACGATGAATTGGTAATACAAAAGGAAAAGCTCACTGAACAAAATGTGAGGTAAGAAAAATTATCAATCTTTGTAAAAAGTCGATGATAACATTCTATTTCTAGGCAACGACAAACGATAGAAACACTTGACCAATCTCATACTTCAGAAATAATGGAGTTAAAAAGAGAAATTATTGCGTTAGAAAATAAATTATCTGTAGAAAAAGCAGCCACGGATGCAGAAAGGAGAAAAAATCATGCAATGTCAGAACAGCAAAATATTGAAGACAACGAACGGCTTAGTCCTACCCCTAGCACAGAACAAGAAGATTCCGTGAACACAGAAATAGACAATATTTGGACGGTAATGCGTGTGCATATATGTAGTGATTATTGCTTCTTTATTTTCCTTTTTACCAGAATTAGAATTAAAAAATTTTATTTTTATATTTCAGTTATGTAATCCCATTACCGAAAACAAATCTGAAAGCTATACAGTAGCATTTGATACTATCAGAGCAGGATCTAGCAGTACTTCTATATTTGAGAATTTACAAGCTCAATTGAAGCAAAAAGATGGTGCGAGTTTAGATATCTATCAGTGATAAACTGTATATGTTTGATTTAGATACTTGATAGTATTAATATAATTAGTTATATAGTTAATTATTATAATATTAATAATTATATTAATATAGTTTTTTTAAATTTTTAGGTGAAATACAACAACTTCAGTGGGAATTATCGAGGCGTAACATAGAAAGAGATGTGCTGAATTCAGAATTATCAACATTAACTTTAAAGATCGAAGAATTAAATGTTAAGGTTATGAACGTTGCAGTTTTAAACGAAAGCTTACAAGAAATACAAACTAGATATGACGCGTTGTTACAAATGTACGGTGAAAAAATGGAAGAGAATCAGGAACTGCGTTTGGATCTTCAAGATGTCAAAGAAATGTACAAAACACAAATTGATCAGCTTTTAAAGCGAGATACTTGAAACTTTTTGTAGATAAAATTTCTTTATTGATTGAGCCAATATAATAGATGTAAAACCATAAAAGAGTTAATTTATGACAATTTAGATTCGGTGATAATTTTGGCCAACGGTACTATATCATGTTATCGCAACGAAGTTGCTGATGTCATTTAAAAAAAGATAATGTATAGAAAGAGACTGATGTGAAATTACATCTTAATATAACTTAGTGATTTAAAATTTCAAATTTAACGAAATAATAATATGAAATTTCATTTATACATGTTCTACAGGGAATGCTTATGTGAAAATCGAAATTTTTGCTTTGATAAATTTTACAGATGATTCATGCCCTACATTTTCGATAAATAGTAGTCGCGTTAACATTTGAATATAAATTCCAATATAAGCAATGTAAAATCTGGGCAGTTCTTTAATTAGTCGTAGGAATTAATCATGTACACTGTATACAAATAGAGTAAGAAAAATAACGTGATATATAATGTAATATAACTTTAACATTTTCGATATTGTACTATAGAATTCAAATTATGATATAATTTATTAAAAAAAGATTTATTGTTCCTTTATTGAAAGTTGTATTTTTTATGGTTTCACTCTCTTTGATGCAACAGCGATTTACAATTTCGACAGAATTAGGAGAAAAAGTGGTAAGAACTTGAAACAAAAAAATAATGTACATTTTAAGATATTTATGAAAACTGAGATAAAATAAAGAGAAAAGTATCATAAAAAATTAGAAAGAATACCTTGGAAAAAGTCTTAGACATGATTTATTCTATCAGGAAAGATAGAATAGGAAAAATCATAATGTAATTTCTAAATAGGAGTCTGAAGTAAATGAATAATAGACATGATTGTTTCTCAAAAGTGTAATTAAACCGAAGGGAATACATCTTTTTCATAATTTTTATATATATCGTAAACTTTATTAGTTACAAACTACGACCTTCCCTTCCTCCCCCTTTCCCTCTCAAAAGAAAAAAAAAAAAGAGAAAATGCTATGATCAACTGATGCTTTCGATGACCAAGTATTTATATATTTAATATGAAGAGAAACAAATTTTGTTTTACATCTGTAATATCATTTTTCGCAAGATTTCCTTCTTTATAAACTATTGCATGTTGACTGATTACTATAATTGTTGTATAATAATAGTTGAAATCAATTAATATGACAGATTATGCCAAATATAAGAGATAATACTTACGATTTCATGTAAATTTCATATAAATTTGTATGATTTGGACAATTATCAATTGAAATTTCGGAAAAACATGTACTCCCACTTTAGGAAAAAAAAGAGTGCTGATCATGATACCTTAATATTGAATAGCGAATACAAACATGAAACATACACTTTGTCTTCAATTCAAAGTATCTCGATACTTTCGTTTATCTTGCACGCGATTCGACAGTGACATATCGTTCTTGGTCCCGCTGAATTTCCAAATGTATGTTTAATCATTCGCGAATGGTAACACATCCTTTCTTCCAAGATTAATTTATAATTATAAAATTCAACCGAATTAATACGTTTACTTAAATAAATAAATAATAGAGATCATTAAAAAAAAGGGTTCTTTCGAGCGAATATCTCTGGCAGTGTCACCATCGTCGCGTTATTCGTCATCGAGCTTCTCCGCATCATTGTCAAAACATTCTGTCGTTATTTTTTTTATCATTTTAAAGATGCGGCAGATTCTATGCTTTTCCCAAATCTAACATTGACATTTAAACATACAAGCAATATACGTAATAATAAGACCGCTGACTTGAGTCAGTTTCACGTCGGTTTATATTTTCTTCCTTTCATCTTTTAACTTAATTGTCGATGGGATCCTTTGCTACTTTGTTTGCAGTAAGCAGTATGTGCGCGCTTTTCTCTCTGTTCTGTTCTGTTCTGTTTCTTTCAGTTTCCCGACTATTGCATATTAATCTACTTTTGATCAAAAGGAAAACAGTCAAAGGTTACGTAGATAGAAAATAGGAAAGAAGAAAAACCTTGGTAGATATATCGCAGAGTACGCGTTGTTAACGAGATTTTTGAGATAATCATAGAATCGGTGCCAGAATCGAAGTTCGATCGTGAATCGCGCTGGAATTTCTCTGTATGCAAGTGCGCGCTGCCGAACTTAAACGGCTTCCTTACAGACATGAACTTTCTCTTCCAGGTGACAACGAAGGTGTACTTCACACCTGGTCGGACAGAGAGCTAACTCCGTCGAGCATGGAGCGAAGAACGGTACGAACTCGGGTACCGTGTGTAACGAGCATTAAACCATCGACGCGATTGCGTCAATCCGTTTTCGTTCAGACCCATGGTGTCCAACCCTCGTACAAAAGGGCTAAATTGTCAGTACTCTGAGCTTCGCGTATCACGTATTCCACTTGCTCAGCCGTTGTATACTTCCTTGTTGGATGAGGATCGCATCCTTCTAGCTTCATCCGTACGCGATGCCAAACATTCAGTGCATACGCGTTTCGCTCTTGTACAGCTATGAAGAATAAATGAAGAAAAATGAGAGACAGAAATTACGTAATCGCTGTAAAATTCAATAAGCTCACCTTTTCCTGTTGTTGGATCTCGGGTCGGTGGAACTCCTTTCCTAGGACTGTAACATATACCCTCCTGCCTCATCAATTTCCCTTTCTTCTTCATTGAATTAATTATCGAAATTTCAGTTTCGCCCTCTCTTTCGCGATCTCTTTCCTTTTCTTTATCTATATCCTTTTGTTTCTCAGACATCTTTATTGGGTTTATTTTCCTCTCATTGGCAAACTCTAATAACTCGTTGTACAAATTTGGTACTACGGTTGTCATATTCTCCAATTCTTCTTTAATCGTTCTTCCTCTATTTACATCTAAATTTTCAGATTCAAGTTCCTTTACGACAGCTGATATGCTCTCAGTAAACGACCGATACGAAGAAAGAAATTCTTGTAAGCCGTCAATATTCTCTTGTTTCACCATAGTTCGTAACAATATCCGAACGTCTGACATTAATCTATGATGTTCGGTCAGTACACTTTGCAAGTTCGAGACTTGTTCTCTCAAACGTTCCTGAGCTGAGAGCAGGCCCTCCTGTTTTTCTTGCAATTTCTTTTGAACATCAAGTATTGCCTCGGAAATGAATCTTTCGGCCTGCTTTAGCCAGTTCATATCAACATTGCTTTCCATATGTAACAATTCGACTAGACTCTCTTCAATCGCGGTTACTGTGATGTTTAGATTCATTGTTAAAATGCAGCTCTCTTCCCAGTGCTTAATTAGTTTAACGAAATTCGTATCGTGTGTCACACTTTCGGACGTTCTAGTTCTTAAAGCCTCATAATGTAATATAGAATTGCAGGTATTGATAACACTAGACGCAAGATTATGCTGTCGAGTTAGTTTCTCGCAAGACAAAAGCACCGCGTTATCAAATGCAGACATAACTTCTCCGAGAGCTGGATTTGCTCCAGCAGCCCACTTCAATCGTTGCACTGCGCTAGAAACAAGATTTTGTTGCTGGTCTCGTGCCTCACATACTCGAGACTGCAAAGCAGACAGTGTTGTTGCTGTTTTACGAAGTTCTAACATAAATCCAGAACGATCTGAAAAGAAAAATAGGAATATAAATATTTAGGAGCAAAACTGCACAATTTTGAAGGAAGGAAAGAAAATGTCCCAACAGAGAAGGATTCATTACTCACTCAAAGGATTCATTAAATTAACGTTTGATCTCATCAGTAGACTATCCTCGTGCAACCAATGATGAGCTGTTAGCTGTAGCTGAAGTCTCTGCATGCTAGCCCTAGCTACTTCTACACATTGTTGAGCAAATCTAGCACTTTGTTTTCTCCTCCAAGCACTTTCGAGAGTGCTACTGAGAGCACTGGCTTGAGCAAGAACAGATCCAGAAAAGAGACCTCTTTTCAAACATAGATCGACGACCTTTCTACATAATTCTTCTATCGAAACTTTACTCTCAGCTCCGATATCTCTCTGCTCGATCTCGGTAGTAACGCTTAAACCCATTCTTTGCAGTAAGAAACAGAGTGCGATGGCTAGTGTTTGAGAAGTGACGCCGAGTAACTGTCGTGATACGTAATCCGCTGTAAAGATTCTTATTGGTTTGTTTAGTCTTTCGTCATCGTAAATGTTTGCTAAACCGCCTTTAAACGCAGTTGCAATATCTCTACACATCATGAAAAATTCTTGTATTGTATGCAAACGTTTAACCAAAAATATATCCTCTAACACCTGACAAGCTGTTTTATTGAATATTGGCGCAGACATTTCCTTTGCTTCTCGAATTTGATCAATTTTTCTCCAGGATGGGGGAATATCCAGCGTACTCAAAGTAGCGATTAACGCGTTACCTTCCATCTGAAGCTTTTCGAACAAGCCATTGAAACCCATCAAAAGCATTTGACCAGGCGTCAATGTCTCATCTTGATTCGGTTCCTGAATTTCAGCAGGTCGAGATAACATTGCCTCGAATCTCAGCCTCATGTTATTTACGACATTTTGTATCATTGCATGAGGACTTTCCATTTCCATAACAGTAAATCTCAGATGCATTTCCAACTGTCCTAAAATTTCACCAAGTGGTATACCGGATGATACAATTATTTCTGTTAGTTCCCCTATCATTCTAATCACAGTTGGCTCTTCCGTTATAATTGTTTTCATTGCTTCAGGCAAAATGATCGTATGAAAATTGTAATTAAGTTCCTGCAGTCCTTTATAGATACAATCGGATCCTCTTAAACATTTTAATATGAGAGATATCTTGGGATCATTGTTAGTTTTATGGCATTCAGGTATCAAGCTAACCAGCTCAGCAATTAACGATGACATTAAACGCATTTCATCCAAGAACCAATCTCCTTCTCTGGACGTAAGATCAACGAGACAGTCCCCTGCACATTTAGCAGCACCTTCCATCATTAAATATCTCTTATTTAAAGCACAGAGTGCAGTTATGTTAACACACTCAAGTGCTCTTTCTGCCCCTTTTTCTCGTCTTAGGAAACTCTGTATCTGCACTCTTGATTCTCCATATGCTTTTTCTATTCTAGTGATTGATTCTGGCAATCCCTCTGATACCATTCTTTCATATGCTTTCTTTAGTCTTTCATTTGCATCGTTTAGAATTGCTTGCATTTGATAAGAGAACGCTATTATCTGTTGAACTTGCTGATTGTTGGAACTTTTGATTGGATCAAAAGTATTCTCAAATTGCATCATAACTTCGCGACACGTTTCGACACATCCAGTGTTTAAAAGTTTGTTAGCCCAACCGTGATAAAGTACGGTACGATGTTGTGACATGTTACTCAGTGGATATAGGCTGCAAATCGCTGAATACTGACTCAATAGATCCAAACAATTTCGTATTAGAATAGATTGTTGCGTAGCCAATTGTGTTAATTCATTTTCTGATTGCTCACACTGAAGTATCATTTGACTTTGGCCAGCATTCTGTAAGAATTCTTTGACAAGATCAAAAACTACATGATCTTCTTGATTCGTAGGTGTTCCTAATTCTGCCAACCATTGTCCTAATTGCGGGCCTCGCACGGCTGAAAGAGCCAGCTAAAATAACGAGACAACAATTAATCTCTTCAAAATAAATGAAATAAGCGAATAGATGAAGCTTACGTTATGCATATTAATCTGCTTTTCACAATCGTCAATCTTTTCTTTCAATCCAGTTCTCGCTTTCTCATGAGCATCACGTGCTCTTTTAAAAGAATTGTAACGCTTTATTACGGAGTATAGTGGATGATTACGTCCCATTGCTTGTGCTTCCTTGACTAGAGCAAGCTGTTGGTGTCTGTCTTGTAACAAGTCTTGACATTGACGCGTGATTTCTGTTGCCTCCACCCAACAATTCAAATGATGGCACAATGATGGAAAGATCTTTACCAACTCGTCTCTAAGAATTCATCAATATAAATACAGATAAAATATACAATAATATTATTACAATAAAGATAAAATTTAATT